TCAGTGTACTTCGTTCAGTTACGTATTGCTGAATCCCGCAAGAGGGCGATGTGATGTTACTTATCGTTACTGTATGTGTAAATTAATGTAGTTACCGCTAAAGACTGTCTCATGTTGCCGTTTTCTTTCATTATGGGGACAGTTATCAGGGTAAAAACTTAAGTCAATTTTACGCCGATTTAGACAAAAGTTTATATTGGACCCTGTTATACCTTGATCATACCTGCCAAGTTTGGTGGAGAGAGAGAGAGAGAGAGAGAGAGAGAGAGGTACCTTGCCACGTGGTGTTGGGAAGGTAATTGAACAGTTAACAATAACCAATATATATATTAAACGGTAAACAGTAAACATAAACCGCAAACAAACAGTAAATATAACAACAAACAACAATAAACCATAACATTAACCTCAACATAAAACAGAACTTAAAACTAATTCATATATCAATTGTTTATTACACATCACAACTTAATAATAATAAAAAAAAAAAAATATAAATCATAAAACATAAATATATAATAAGACACGTGTGAGGTCACGATAGAGGCGGTGACCTGACCCACAATTGTCATTTGACCTCAACCGAAGTTAATTGTACAGCAGGTGGCCAGCACAGGTTATTGATGAGGGGTGGGGGGGGTCATAACTGAGGAAAGATGATTTATGTGAAACGCAAAAAGGATTATCTCTCTCTCTCTCTCTCTCTCTCTCTCTCTCTCTCCAACTATATATCTATTTGTATATCTATCTATCTATCTCGTCCGTCCGTGTGTGTCGTGGCCTTCTGTGGGAGGTAGTAGCCCTCACCTTCCTGGGTTGTTTGTTTCCTGGAAGTTTCCTGCCTCTGTCTTCCTGCTGCTGGTGGTGGTGGTGGTTGTGGTGACCTGCTAGTTGCAAGCCTCAAATGACGTCACGAACAAACCGCTGATTTTATGACGTCACCACCTACAGCTGATTCATGACGTCACGAACAAACCGCTGATTCATGACGTCACCACCTACAGCTCATTCATGACGTCACGAACAAACTGCTGATTCATGACATCACGAACAAACCGCTGATTCATGACGTCACAAACCGCTGATTTCATGACGTCACCACCGGCAGCTATTCTCCAGCGTGGTGATGTTGTTGACACTGTGACGTCATCAACAAGGAGGACGCCCGCTGATCTTCAAGACGATGGGAGGTGAAGTGTCGACACCCAGGTACACAGGTACACCCAGGCACAGGTCCACAGGTCACCCAGGTACACCCAGGTACACCAGGCACACCCAGGTACCAGTCCCAGGTACACAGGTACACCCAGGTATACCCAGGTACACCCAGGTCCACCCAGGTACACCCAGGTACACCCAGGTATACATTTAGGTACACTAGCACACCCAGGTACACCCAGGTACACAGGTACACAGGTCCACCCAGGCACCCAGGTACACCCAGGTACACCCAGGTACACCCAGGTATACATTTAGGTACACCCAAGTACACCCAGGTACACCCAGGTACACCCAGGCTACACAGGCACAGGTACACCAGGTACACCCAGGTACACCCAGGTATACATTTAGGTACACCCAAGTACACAGGTACCCAGGTACCAGGTATACATTTAGGTACACCTCAATACATTGTGATATACAGTAAGATGTACTACAATACCATATAATACAACATACAATACATTGAAGTGCCATACAATACAACACAATACCATACTGTACAATGTAACAATACAACAATTTACAACACAGGATACAATAAGATACAATGAAATACAATAATTATCTGAGTGGGCAATTTTCAGGACTTCCCCAGACTCCTTGCTTCAAACACCCTGACCTGACTATGAGGGACCTGTCTCGAGTGACCTGGTTCTTATAGACGAAAAATATACAGGTGTGGGTTTCTAGTCAGGTATTGTGTAGTTAGTGTGTGTGTGTGTAGTGATGGGTTAGGTGTGGGTGTGTGTGTGTGTGTGTGCGCTCTCTCTCTCTCTCTCTCTCTCTCTCTCTCTCTCTCTCTCTCTCTCTCTCTCTCTCTCTCTCTCTCTCTCTCTCTCTCTCTCTGTCGCCTCATCCACCACAACACATTTGCCTTCGATCTTGAGTAATTATGCCAGGATCATTCACGGTCTAAACCCCCTGTCCTTGTTGGGTAATGATGCTGGTGTGGGAGGGAGAGTAGAAGGTAGGGTAGAGAGAGGAGGTGATGGAGGGAGAATAGAGGGTGGAGAGGGAGGGGTGATGGAGGGAGGATGGGGGTGGAGAGAGAGGGTGATGGAGGTGGAGGAGGGTGATGGAGGAGAATAGAGGTGGAGAGGGAGGGTGATGGAGGGAGGAGGGTGGAGGGAGGTGATGGGGGAGGATAAACGGAGGATTAGGAAGGAGATGGAGGAAAGATAAAGGGGGTGGAGGTAGGGAAGGAATAGGGGGGGGGAAGGAGGGAATAAGATGATAGAGATAGAAAAAAAAATACACAGAGAGAAAGAGAGATAAACAAGAATAAAAGAAAAAGAGAAAGAAACATGAAAATGGGTGAAAATCTCAAGGAATGAAGAACTTGAAGGAAAGATAACAAAACGAGAAGATGTGGAGATAAAGATGATGAATAATGACACGAGCGGAAAGAAGGAAGAGAGAGAGTCACGAAGGCCACGAAAGGAAACGAAAGAAGGGAAATAGAAAGTGGGTGAAAGTGTGATGTAGTAGAAGAAGAGAGAGAGAGAGAGAGAGAGAGAGTACAGCTGTGTATAGTGATAATTTAATTTGTATTATTATTATTATTATTTGTATTATTATTATTATTGTTGTTGTTGTTGTTGTTGATGTAGGTGGGTGTTATTGTGGGGTTGTGTTGAGGGGTGTAGGGGTTATGGTGGTGAGGTCATGTGTGGTGGGGATTGTGATGATGCGTGTGGGGTTGTGATGACGTGTGTGGGGGTTGTGACGGTGTGGATGTGTGTGTGGTGGTGAAGATGTGTGTGTGTGTGTGTGTGGTACTGCTGTGGTGGGGTTGTTGTGTGTGTGTGTGAATGGTGCCGTGGGAATTATTACATAGGGCAGGAACTGTGACTTACTGTGATGGTGAGAGAGAGAGAGAGAGATCCTGTGCTAATTTGGACTCAGGTGTGTTGAAGGTACGTGAGACACTATAGGATATTTACAAGCAGGTGAGTCAATGCGAGGAGCCAGGTGTGGTATTCCGTGTGTGTGTGTGTGTGTGGGGGGGGGTGGGATGGTGTGTGTGCGTGTGTGTGTGTGTGTGTGGGGTGGTGTGTGTGTGCGTGTGTGTGTGTGTGTGTGTGTGTGTGCGTGTGTGTGTAGAGACATGCCTACACTCTGGTAGGATCATTAGCCTCTCGCACTAAAGTCTTCATCATACACTCTGACATTCCTCCTCCTCCTTCTCCCTTTCTTCACCCTTCTTCTTCTTCCTCTATTCTCCCTCTTCTTCCACTTCTTCGTTCTTCATTTTTCAGCGAAGGGGAGAGAGAGCACAGATAAGGGAGGGAGAAATGAGAGAAACACAATGAAGAGAGGAAGGAAGGAGTGAGGGACTGTGAAGGGAGACATGAGAGAGAGAGACAGAGAAGGGGGAAATGAGAGAGAGAGAGAAGGGGAGGCATGAGAGAGAGGGAGACGGAGAGAGAAGGAGACATGAGAGAGAGAGAAGGAGACATGAGAGAGAGAAGGGAGACATGAGAGAGAGAGAATGGGGAGACATGAGAGAAGGGGAGACATGAGAGAGAGAGAGAGGAGACATGAGAGAGAGGAGACATGAGAGACAAGAAGAGAACGTATACTCAGAGAACAGTACAGTGGGGAGGAGGGAGACTTCCTGGTATTGTAGGAGACGATGTGGGCGGCCCAGACGCATCCTCACGCCCACCACCCCACATAAACACCCACCTCTCCAACCACCCAGGTCTGCTCCCTCTTAATGATTCGTCAATGGGCCCCAGTCTCACCTAACCTAACTTAACCTAACCTAGTTTAACCATTCTTCATCCAATTAGTTGAAGAGTGACGTACACACACACACACACACACACATTAATAAAACAGAACGTGAGAATATTTAACACCAAAACAAAAGGCGGTCAAAATACGTAATAAACCCAACGAGAAAAAACTCTACCCAGCCAATCACAAGTCTCCATTC